ATGTGTGGTTGTCTCATTACTGTCTGTTCCTGCTTACCTCTTTACTGGATTCCGTAGTTCCCTCTTGCCACTTTTTGGCTTCACATCTACTTTGGGTGGTCAAGGGCAAACACCCTTCCAGGAAGGATGTCTGTTATGAGCCACATGGCTACCGGAATGATTGACACATGGCTGTTAGAGTGGATGACACATTGCTACTAAGACAAAATAATTTTTATTTAATTATATAAATAGTTATTGGGATAGGTGTGAAGGTAGTTTTAGGATGTGTAGGATAAGTGCGATGGTAGTTTATATGTAAAGGTTTCGATGATTTATTTATTTTTTTGTTGAATTTTATCAAAATCCTTAATCTTAAAACAGAAAATAATCAAGGAGTTTAGAGAGAAGGTGAAAGAAGAAGAGAAAGAGAAGGAAGCCCGTCAAGCCACAGAGACAAAACAATTAGCTGCATAAGGGATTAATATTGCAGCGGAGGTTGAGCTAGCAATTCCAATTTCTTTCAGGAGACCAGATAGAGATGTCCACTCTTTTGAATCAACTCAAATGGTACTTCCATGATCGATCTCTCTCTTTCTCTTTATTTATATATATATCTTTATATATATCTACATATATGTGTGTGTATATATATATATAAAACAATTTACATACTGGATTTTTTAGATCATAGAATTATTAGTGTTAATTAATTTGTAGGGAAATTAACATAAACGCAGAAGACAAAGTAAATGTCATGTAACTGGAACAACTACAGTTTCCTCTAGTCTTCCATCAAATCTCCTAACTATGGCCGATACCATTGATTTTGCCAGTAAAATTTTTATCATTAGATTCTCTTTAATTGTCTTTTAGGTCAAATGAGTTTTGTTAATAGTTAGTTTTCTTACTGACAGTACACTCCGGAGCATTTCATTCAACACAATACTAATCGCGGCTATATGATCCAGCAAAGAACTGAAGGCTGGACGGTTGAGAAATAACAGTGTGATACTAAAAGATATGATATAGTAAGTCTTTTTTAATTTTTTCAGCTGAACAAATTAGTTTTTTGGAGCTTGATAATATTTATATTCATGTGGGAATGCAGTACTATATTCATAGGGAATCTCAGGGATCGTTTCGATCAGTCATCGAGGTGATTGATTTTATACTCAATGAAATCTATTCAAATAAACCCACTCCGAAGCCAAAAAAGAAGAATACGGAAGAAGAGAGTAGTTTTATAGTACTACTGGGAGAAAGGAAGAATGTCAGAATGCCAAAGAAGATAAAGATGATGGGGAACAAGATGTAACCCATTGAAGAG